TTTTCATTAGACCATCCGCTGCACAAAAAATATTTATTGTTGCCAACAGTTACGGAGGGCACTGTGCTGTCGATGCTGTACAAACATATTGTAAGCTGTGTTATCTTATGGAGGGAAAATGTGACAATATTTTAATGTGCTTTGATTCTAAACTCAGTTGAAGAGTTAAAGGATAGGTTAATGGCTATTGAATTTGCGGCATCTACACATTCGATTGATTTTGTCAAGTCTAATCGATTGAAAATTTGGATACGTGAGGTATCGAATGCACTTTATAGATCTATCTACACATAGGTTGTTTATCATATTTAATTGGAAATTTCTTTTCAGAACTGTCGCAATTGGCTCATGTCTGATCTGCCAATAGGTGAAGAAATCTTAGATGCAAGGTTCGGCTGTATCTGTTTATCGGCAAGTTAGTATAAATTAGACCCACAGTCTTAAGAATTTATTAAACTCAATTATTAACAAATTTCACTTTGCATTCTCCCCCAAATAGATTGTGAATATAACGAATACGTAACGACCTCTGTGATTGATTATGTATTTGATTTTTTCGTTAAAAACTTGACCATGCCCGATATTTATCACGAAGCCATGGATGATGATGAATACGATGAAAATATTCTTGAAAATCTGGATAAAGCCCAAAAAATATTTGCAGGTGATTCATTGGTTAACGATGTGCAAGATAAGATCCAGTTTGGTGATTACACCGATTGCCCGATATACCCCCTTTCAGAAAAAGGTTCAGGTTCAGGTTCAGGTTGGGATTAACAGAAATTCGAAGTTTTACACTCTTAAACCATAAAGGTTATTTGTGACTTTCAGAGCAGAAGGTAGAATATACGCAGTTTTTGTGTCAATATTTGTAACCACGTGAGAAATTGCAAAATTTGCCACATAAAAAATAAAAAGAAATCAGTCTCAACAATTTTTAATTTGAAAATTGTGTACTGGATATTTTACAAATGAAGTAAATGGGTACTACTTATAGAAATATAAACGATGACACAAGTGAAATAAATAGAAATATAAACGATGACACAAGTGAAATAGAAAACCTATTTACAAAGGAATGGAAAAGAATAGCACGCATCTTTCTTAATTAAAATATACCATGTTACCGGAAGAGGACAATTATTATTGAGTGTACAAATCTTGTCGAAAACCGACGGGTGTTTTTTCCTCTTTACCATCATCCAAAATATAGGCATTCAAGTCGACATCTCCCGCAACTCTGTTTTCCCTAAAATTTTTAATTGC